TCCAGACATCACACATAATAGCCTAATACATTTTGTCTTTTACCTTTTTAGGAAGGTAAATTATTTTTAAGTTGTTATTGTGTATTTAAAGGTAGGTAGGTTAACGGTTGAACATCCAATTCCCCCTTTCTGCAGGCCACAGCCCTTTATCTTCTTGCCCCTGTGACAGTGGACATCTTAGATATATTCTAATAATGGCACTGCTGTTTGTTGTACAGTGTGGCAACTCACAGTTATCGCTTGCAACACTGAGGTGATGGGCATTTAAATGTTTAAAGTAATAAAGTCCCTTCTAACCTTCAGACAGCACTGATGAGGAGAGAGCACAAAAGCAGAGTTTATGAAGAATCCTTGGCTTCGGTTGTATATTCCTACATTTCTACAAACCACCTTCTAATTAGCCAAGTCTACCAAGTTCACTCTTTTAAAAGACAGTAAAATAATTTAAATTCGCTATGCTGTGCCCTGTGCCCCAAATACCTGCCCTGTGTCTAAGGCATGTACTAACTCTGCAGCTTCAATGTGAATGGCACTGCAATGAGAATGTAAAATCATTAAAATATTGTTTCTCTTTTATCTGTCTAATATACACCAATAAGCCGTAACATTATGACCTCCTGGGCACCCTGGCTGATTGGTGTGCAAGGGATTGTAGCACGGCACGAGAGCCTGCTTCTTCCTGCGATCCCCTTCACCGGAGCAACGCGACGTTAACGCTGATACGTTAACTCTGCAGAGCAACGAGCGAAAGGCCTTTCCTCTTGCTACTTGCACCAGCAGGCATAGCACAGCAGAAAGTTTGGACTCTAGAACCACAACTCTGATCAGCCTGGCTCACAGTACCACCAGCTGATCCGAACAACACCCGCAACTCTTCTTCATCTCCATTGGACTGTCGGTTACGTACTGGGCATAGACAGATAACTTAACAGAGTTAACGGCTAAACAAGGACTGATTAATTACTGTTAATGTAACTGATGTGTTTTATTCAGCTTATTGTATTGTGATGTGGATTTGATTAACTCAGGTTACTGTAGTAACTGTAGTCTTTCAGACAGTGCTAAGGTGATGTTAGGTTAATGTTATGCTTCACACAGACACAGTCTTTGCATGCAACTAACTCCCTTTTAATGACACCGTTAATCTAAAATCACACACACATATATTCGGCCTAAACCTTAGCACACATACATGGAGAGGGAACTCAAACCCTCCCGCTTCTCCGTGCTCTTTGTCTCTCACCAACACATGTTTCATACATTGAAACATCTGGTCAGAGGACAAAGGACACACACCTTTTCTGGCGCCCAACCCCCATGCACACACACACACACACACACCTTTTTCCTCTAACTTCCTTTAAGTTAGATTGTATATAGTATATTTTCCTGTGTTTGCTTTTATTATATTTTTTTTCTTTAATAAATGCTTGTGTTTATATTTGCTGGCCTATTTAATGTCGTACAAGAGTGAGTGATACCAACCTCTTCTATGTAGAACTCCAAAACTCCCACTTTAGCTATTAATAAGGATTTTGGTTGTAGTTATTCATTTAATTATTAAACTGACTTCTGAAATAATAGTTTAGTGAATTTTATTAGACTGATCAATCAATTATTGGCTATCGTTTCCCTTATTTAAGGGTGGTGCCCCGAGGACCTTAATAAAAAATAAAGTAATTTTCTATTATCTTTTGATAATTATACATTTTGATAACCATGAATTGATTAAACCAATACAGTTAGACCACTGTAACACCCTACAACGTGGAGCCCGACAGCTCGTATGTGATATGTTTTTTAAAACTAAAGTTTAATGCACGTTGATCCAAAGGCTCAGTTATGTCTTCATAATTATGTCTCCAGTTAGATGATGTGATTCAAGAGTCTTCAATTAGAGGTGTGAATGTATGGTTATTGGTCCCTGGGCTGCCTTTGGCGCAACACATATACGCGCGCACACACACACACACACACACACACACACACACACACACACACACACATTTCCTGCTTGCATCATCTCACCTCTTCTACCTGGGGCCTTATTGTTTTCTAGCAATAACAGAACTAATAGAGCAAAACAAATGTGTGGCCACTTAATGATCTGAATAATGACATAATACACCACAGAGTCCAATTTAACAAGGAGCAAACAAGAAATGTGAGAAAAGCCCTCCTTATGGTCTAGGGAATACATTCTGGTTATTGACTGAACATCAATCGAGAAGCTTTCTACGGTGTAAAAATGATGATTCAATCTTGTTTGATTTACGTCATGGTGTTATGTGACTGTGCACATATCTGGACAACAGAAAAATAACAACTAATTAACAGTTGTCAATGGACTTTGATAGTTCAGAAAAGTAACATATAGCTAAAATTATGCCATCTAATCACACTCACCATCACACTTGACTGAGCCACTGACAGTGAGGGGTTCTGTCGTAGAGGGTCATCTACAACAATAGTTAACCCCGTCAAGACTTTACAACCTATAGTTTCTGTAATACGTTATGACATGTTGATGATGTTTAAAACCAAACCAAAACGTAATGAATATGTTTGTTTCTGGAGTATAAATTGTGCCTACATTTAGGAAGATCTATTGGCAGAAATGGAATTTAATATTTATAGGTATGTTTTCATGAGTGTATAATCAACTGAAGTTAGGGATCGTTACCTTAGGATGAGCTGTTTATATCTACAGACGCCGCGGGTCGCCTTCCATGGAGGCTGCCATGTTGAGCTGCCATGTTTCTATAATAGGAGAAGAAGAAGATGAAGATATATACTTTATTAATCTCCTATTGGAGAAATATTTCTTTTCACTCTTTTCACTCAGCTAGATGCCTCACACTGGACCTTTAATATATACTGTAAATAAGTCCAATAGCATATTTCCATACACATTAGCACGTGTAACAACAAGGTACAGTGTTCAGGGTTATTTTTAATCACTAATAATTGTTAATGAACACTTGAGCACATCACACCCACATCAGGCTAAACCATTTGGGTGTGTCCAGAAGAGCAACATGTTTTAACCTTTTAGGGATGGTAAGGTTGACACAGTTTGGATTTGTCTCAGTTATATAATATTATCTGCTAGGAGGGACTACTTAAATTAACTTTCTGACGTCACCACCTCTATGGTTAAAGACTGAAAAACACACAAAAACCACTTGGTGAAGTTTGGGGAAAGATTGTGTTCATGGTTCAAAGAAAAAGTTTAACTCATTATAAAATTTCCAGAAAATTGGCCAAAAAAGATTTTCATCCTTTACTCACACTTTGTCAAATGTACTCAACTGTTCCACTTTAGCCAAGCATAAACAATCTTTTGTGATATTAAAACTTTTTTTTCATTTTGAAAATGTGAATGAGAACAGTTGGATGGAAACACACTTCCTGAATAGAAGGTATAACCTGAATTAACCATTAGTCAGCAAGCCTGTCAAGCTTTGGATTTCTGTGTTCACGGGGTCGTAGTAAGAGCGATACTCGTCATTTAAAGAGTTTGAAGAATAGTTTCTAAAGGATAATGGATAGTGTGGAGTCCACATGAAACGGAAATCAGAGTGCTTTTTGCTTCTGTATATTTATGCATTTCCTGTAAAGTTGTGTGTCTCTCTTCATCCCATATCGACATCATTAGTCATTTGTTCCAGTAGCAACCAGTTTCCTGTTGGCATATTCTGACATAAAGTAACATCTTGATAAATGTAACATTGTAAATGCTAGTTGTAGTAATTAGTGTAATCATAACAGAAATGTTTATGACACATACAAATGAATGAAGATTGTAGTGATAAACTTAATTTAAGAGTTTTATTACAGACACAGATACATATACAGTATTAGGTTTACAGTAATACACATGACCTAAAGGCCACAAGAGGCTAACATGAGTCCCATTTTTTGACTCATGATGAATCAGTGCTGACCCTGGATCCTACCATGGCTGACAGATGCACAAATACTAAATGAGTAAAAAGCAATCCTAACCTCCTCTTTATGCACTATGTGGCCCAAAGTAAAATTTGTGGTTTTACTCTGCTGCCCAAATATTCAAGATATCTGTGATTACTTATTCCTCCCTCTGTCCATCCAAAGGCTTTTAAAAAGACCAAGACTAAAACAGTAGCTACTCCTCTCTCAAATGGTTTTGCATTTACCATAAAGAAAGAGGAACAAAACAAACAACAGAACAAGTAGTACCAGTGTAACAGGTATCATTATCTTTATTGCTGTTATTAATAATATAGTCTATTCTCAAAAGAGTGTCACGGAGGGTTATTGCTTGCTATCTAGTTGAAAAAAGCTAAAAAAAAAACCCTGAGAAATTCTTGTTTAACATCATATGTCAGATTATATCATGAATACAGCTTGGGTCAGCAAACAGGATGATCTGGGGGGAAAAAAAGCTTGACACTGTAGTGCTACTTTTGACAGAATAAAGTGCCTTGAGAAATAATTCTCTGCTTTCATTTATAATACACTGAAAGAAAAATGTACTTTAGTCTAACACTGGAATAAATGCAGAAAAAAAGGTACTATCCAAGGTGGAGATAGATTGTCAAAGATACAGACAGTATGCAGAAGATGACAAACTGTATCTTTGACAGATTTTATTTTTCCATGATAATATAACATGATAATCTGGATACAGATCCATAAACTTGTACACAGCTGGAATTTTCTGGATAAAGATACTTTTGTCCTTTAAGTGTCAAAGCTGTTTATGTGAGGATATCATAAAGAAATACACAAAATGACATTTGTGGCCTTATTTGAATATAGATCCTGTGGACTTGCATGCACATGAAGTAAATCTCCTTAAATATAATCCTGATCAGCAGTTTATCAATGACCTATGAAGGAATGACGTGCCAGCCACTTTTGGATACTGAACAAAATCTCTGAAACTTATATCCGTGTACACAACAACAAATCACCACACTCACAGTTCTCTACTATACAGACTACCAGTGTGTGTAAAATTATAGCATGCCAAGATCAACTCTCTAAACTTGCCAGACAGGTGTGTGACTCAGACAAAATATTCCAGGAAGTTGACTGATGGCCTTTCTCATGTTTAATTATTGGTCTGTATATGTGGAGACATTCCTTCTGACAGGAGCCCTTTTTGGGAGACAGAACACAATGAAAGGTAAATAAATACAATTAACATTTTAAAACTTAACTCTTATCTTATATAGGTGGTAAATATGTGTTATGCTTTAAGGCAAACTGTAGAGGATAATGCTACATGTTACAGACAAAGCACTGATTTCTCATATTAGATTTGTCATGTAGAACAACATTTAACACTGAACATTTAACCCAATTTACCAAACAGGTGAAAGCATTTGGCAAGTTACTTAAGATAAACAGGAATAAGGGGATGATATTGAGTTCTATATTTCTTTACGGATGAAGCAATTAACAGGATTAAAGATAGAGATGACATTTAGTGAGAATGCACAAACACACATACTGGGCCAATTGCCTGACAGAATATACATTACATACATATACAATATATATATATATATATACGTTGGCTTTAGTCTTGAAAAGTTAATCCTGTCTTATAAAGTGGCTTTCTCAAAAACATTTGAATTCATTTGGATTATTTACTCTGAAAGTATCAGTAGCAGTATCCATTTCAACTAGCTAAGTTAGTCCTTATTAGTAAGAGTGTATACACAGGACTAGCATGACGCTGCTCAAAACAAATGTAATGGAAAGGTTGATAAAAACTCCATAATGTGGTCGAACAACATAGGAAAAATAATAGTTAACAGAAACATTCAGCCAACTGTGGTCAACCTACAAATTATGTTCATACAACAAATTGAAATAGTAATTTACATTTACAAGCAATGTCATGTTAACTGAAAATAATTATGGAACTTTTCAATAACCTGTATTTACTGAAACAACTGTTTGTTTAGAAACGGTTTAGAAAGTGAATGGCAAACAAAACTGCTGTAAGGTAAACACATAAAGGGAAAGCTGTAATCAAATTAGATAAGATAAGGTAAGATAAGATGGACTCCAGATACAACACAACAGATAAGAAAATACACATTAAATAAAAAAGATATAATGAAAATAGAAAAAATAGTGTAAGCAGGAGGTAGTGGCACGGTGTAAAAATAATAAATTGTACAGGACAAAAATATATACAGGAGTATAGTTTAGAGGAAATACAGACTATAGACATAGGCGTATGAGTATATAGTATCTAGGTCTAATATTATAATGTGTATGTAAGAAATTATCATTTCCAACTTCTACACGTTGTAATTTCTGTATTTTTTTATATGGCAAGTTAAATACAGTTAAGTGCACCGTGGTCCTTTTAAGTGTCAGCTGTCTCATCTACATGTAATGCAAAAATAGAAAATTAAACACATTTCTAAATAATTTCCAAAATGAACTCGAAGCCAGTGTAATAAAGCTAAAATCAGAGTAATGTAATGTGTGACAGCAAATGTATTAAAGCCAGAAATAAGCTAGAGAAATGTGGAATCCTCAGAGTCATGAGGTTAAAAGAAGCATGACTAGTTTTTCTAATGCGAATAAAACAGTCAAAACAGAATCCCACTCTCTTGCAAACAGGCATTACATGGTTAGATAAGGAAGCCAAGTAGGGATAACCATAAGAGGCAACAATTCATATCTCATATTTGTTTACATTCAACTGTCACTGATCGTTAGGATTAAAATGAATGAAAAGTGTGAAAAGGAAGTGTGTAGAAGTGGTTCGTCTTGATAACCGCAAATGTAACTTCCTAAATGAAATGTAGTTACTTGTTCCCGGGTCGTCAAATGCAGATGTGAGCGGTGTTCAGTTAGTTAACTCAAATATTTAGTTAATTAATGTAATTGGATCGAAACAAGGCAAAGTTAATCTGGTTTAAAAAACCTCTCAATGAGTTTTACTCCCAGCTAGCCTGCAGGGCTTTATCCAAAGGTCAAAACAAAATCCCCCTACCCACACCTCTGAAGCTCACTAAGTAACATGTTAGATTTGGGGTTTTTTAATCTGCACAAGACCAAACTGTAAAAACAACACATGGTTTGAATATTCCTTGAGAGATGTGAGGCATAGATACTGTGTGAGGTGAAAGGGAGATGCATCCAGGTCTTCTAAAAGAACAGAATGTTATTGTAATTAGGCTCGTTCAATAACACATTCAGGCAGCAGCAGTTTGCATCAAAACTTGTGCTCGTTCTGGCTGTCATAACTGTCTGTAACATATAGACCTTATGAACATATTTTTGGGTCTGATGTCATTACAAACAAACAACCATAAATTGGCTTTGAAATCATCAGAAATTCAGGCTACTTACAAGTCCAAAACTAAAACTACTCTAGTGATCCGACCCTCTTAGAGTGGTAGTCTGTTTCTTTTAAATGTAGGCAAAGAAAAAAAGAAAAAAAAACGGGCCCACAGCTTAGCTTCCTGTTAACTCTCAAAACTTGGGGCTATAATATCTACCAAAAAGAAGTAAGACAAAGAATAATAATAAGAGTGACAGAATCTATTAATATTAATGATCATATTGTACAATCCATATATGATATAATATTTGTTGTTTGAGGGGGTTCCTACAGATTTTCAAAGCTCCTGCTTTAAAGAACCCTTTTGTTTATATGTTGACATTCCGACTTCAAACATTCACTGAGGGTAAGGAACTGTAATAGCAGTGTGTTCATTATCAGACCAGTTATCAGGAAAGGACAGCATTGATTCACTTATTAGCTTCCTGGTAGCATTTTGTGTTCCAGCACCTTGTCATCTCAAGCATCTATGCTACCATCAGCTATCAGTTTATCTTACAATAAATAAAAGAAACATTTCTCCTGTTTCATTTCATAATGAGAAATCATTGTGTTTCTTGTATCCTCACTCTAGTCAGGATGGCATTACCTAAGGCAGTGGGATACATTGTTGTTCTTCTGGTTATATACTATAATCAGGGATACACACAGTCTCTGAATGTATCCCTTGAGGTAAGAAATATAATTCATAAGTAATAACTCTCACAAGGTTGTAGTGCTATATGAGATACGGAGTTGTGTGTATAATTAGTATTTAGTGACAGTTATTGTTGTATGTAGACAAACTGTACAAGTGAACTACTCAGATGTATATGGATTTCTCCAGGAACTGATGGGTACAAAAACATCACATGCCAGAGAAAAGAGAGCGGGTGAGTCACATTTTGATAGTATCAACAGAATGTTTCAACTGTATCAGTGTTTCTGTTTCTGCTATTGTCTTTTGTTACCATGTATAATGTGCCTATGATTACTTTTTAAAGTGTTATATTTAATATTATAATGATAAAATGATTATCTTTTATTAAATATTTACTTAACTCTGCTTTGCTCGTCATTAAAGTACGGACTACCAATTTTCCCATGATACAGTATCTGACTGTGCCTGTTTCATGTCTTCCCAGCACTCCTTAATTCCTCCGATTATGTACTCCAAGCTGTTATAAACATCTCTGACCTGGAGCGTCTCCAGATGCTTTTGGACACACTCAGCTTTCCTTTACTGATCAACAGCACTGCTGAAATTACCAGCATTGACACCACAACAGGTAATGACAACATCCTGTCATTTTCTTGCTGCACTGTTTGCCAAAAGATGAATATATTTAACCCTATGACAATATGACATATTTTAACCCGTCATTAAACCTTGATGTTGTGTGCTGCTGTCTCCCCACACAGTGTGTTCATCAAATATGGGTGAATACCAGTGCAGGTGTGAGCAGGGCTTTGCTTGGTCATACAACAACTGCATAAGCGGAGCCTGCGATGCCATCATTAATGACACATGTGGATGCATTACTGGCCTTCCAGCTGATGATCAGTACTGCCAGCTGAACACCAGTCAAACAGGTCAGCCCAGCACAACCACACGAGAGAACTGCTCATGCATACACACAGAGATCTGGAAAATAAACTTCATGTTAATTCTGGGTTCGTCAGGGGTGAAAAGTAACTAAGTACATTTACTGAAGATCTGTACTTGGAGTATAAACTGCTCTATTAGAAAAGTGTCATAAGATAACTTTTTTACAATACATACAAATACATTCAGTAGGAATTTGACATACTTAGATAGTAGATTTATGCTGCTATGGAAGTTTTTTCCACGACATTTAAGTGGAAAAGATTGTAATTTTTAATGACTATAAATACAATAAAACTATAATGGGCATGGGCATTGTTATGCAGTAACTTAAACCACACAGCAGTATATAGAGTCAGTAGAATTAGCTCTACTGTGGCCGGTACATTTTAGTAAATGATACTTTATGATGTGTTATACTTCCTCCACTACATTTCAGAAGGATATTGTACTTTTACTCCACCACATTCATCCTACAACTATAGAAACGTACAGGTTTTACATGTTCAGTGTTAAATAGGATGACATGTTGTAGTTGTACAAACAATCCATTAATAGACAATTTGATACTTTATCAGATTCTAATTCCTGCTTCAGTTAGTCAGCTGAAGACCTAACTGTTGCGACATCATTTAATAAAATGTGTATGACAAATCAGGAGTAAGTGTCAGTAAGTCTTTATAGTCTATCAATTTTGGATTTAAGGGTAATATCCTGTTTTGGCCAATAGATGGCGCTTATGTATCAAATCCCCAACCTAAATGGTCCATTTGTGGCTGTTATACTGTACTGGGCAAATGTCTTTTAGTTTTAATTTATTTTTGTTCATATGAAACTGCAAGTGTTGGACACAAGTTTTGCTTTAATGAATCATGAAACAAGGAACTACCTGTGACACTCAGTGAACCTTTATCAGACAGTTGTTTCAGTAAATACAGGAATAAAAGAATCTGTTGCATGTAGAAATTTAAAGCCTTTACCAGGTTTCCTTGTGAAGTCATACCACAGTTTTAATTGAAAAGATTACAGAGGTTCCGGTTCTTGTCCTATTATATCCTATGATACAAAAAGTGCAGCTGATTTTTGTTTTTATTTTTGTATTTTCCTTTTTACAGAGCTAACACCATCACCTACACCATCAAACAGTACGACACATATATATAGAGAATGATGGGCTGTGTGTGTTTCTGAAGATTTGCACTGGCATTGTAAAATCAAGGAAATTAGAGTATTTCAGTAGTTTGGAAATATATGTTTGCCTTTAGGCTCATACAACCTACGTAAACCATTTAAAGCTTGAACTGAAACAGGAAGTGACCTGTCACAATAAAAGTCAAGTTAAATCTCGTCAAATGAACAAGGTCAAGTTTAAAGGTTGCTGTTCTCCAGACATAAACTATTTCAAGTTTCAGTTTAAATCCAAAGGGTCAGCTAAAAGGTTTGATTAAATAATGCACGTGGGTATCAGAACAACATAATTCTTGTCATGATAACTGCACATAATGAAAAGTGTTGTGAATATTGTTCTATATGATGGTGACAGACTTCTCTGATGGATATTTGTCTGTTCTCCTCCACAGAGCCAGTGGAAATTGACATTGTCCTTGACTTGCGCATCCCACCCGTCATTGTGTCACAAAACCTGATTAGTGTATTCAGGGAAGGTCTGAAAGAGTTCCGACTACCCTACACCATCACTCAGTTCTTAAAAGTAATAGACATAAATTTCACTACAGGTAAGAACTGTTGCTTGTTGTTTGTTTGCTTATGTAATTTGTATGGCTGATTTATTGCTGTTTTATCCAATAGTGTCTGATTTTTTTTACATTTATTTGAAAGCGTGCTACCCAAACTCCACTGGAGGACTGCAGTGTCAGTGTGAGGAGCAGTTTGCTTGGTCATGTGACAAGTGTAACATCTACGGTGCATGCAGCAATGCCACCGAACAAACCTGTGGGTGCATAAATGGACTTCCTTCTGATGGAGAATTCTGTGAACCAATCACAGGTAAGCACTGCCATTTTATAGCTGTTCTAATAAAAGTGATGTTATTGGCAAAAAGGTAATAAATGAATATCTACTGAATATGTTCTTCTGTTTTCTATAGCATAAAAATATGTTGTAATAATTTAATTTCAATGTGGCTCCACAGATATCTCTCAGTGTACGACCCCAACTCCTGGTATGGAACAATTTTTTCTTTCTTTTGAATGGATAAAGTTGAACAGAGTCTGTAGTAGTTGAGGACACCTCTTATAAATAATAAAAAAATATTCATTAATTTTCAAATGAATTGGTGCCATATTTTTCTTCTCTCTTTTGGCCAGTAGATGGTGCTTTGTATGCATCAAATCCACAACCTAAATGGTCCATTTGTGGCTGTTATACTGTACTGGGCAAAAGTATTTTAGTTTTAATTTATTTTTGTTTAAAAGAGAAGTGACTACAAGTGTTGGACACAAGAGTTTTCGCTTTCAATGAATCATTAAACAAGGAACTACCTGTGACACTCAGTGAAGTTTTATCAAATAGTTGTTTCAGTAAATACAGGAATAAAAGAATCTGTTGCATGTAGAAAGTTAAAGCCTCTACCAGGTTTCCTTGTGAAGTCATACCACCATTTTAATTGAACATATTACAGAGGTTCCGGATAATGTCTTATTATATCCTATAATATTAAAAGTGCAGCTGATTTCTGATTCTATCTTTAATTTTATTATTTTTATTTTTACAGAGCTAACACCATCACCTTCACCACCAAACGGTACGACACATAGATAGAAAGAATGATGGGCTCTGTGTGTGTTTCTGAAAATTTGTACTGGCACTGTAAAATCACGGAAATTGTAAAGCTTTTGAAAAAAAAAGCTCACATCTATTTCAGTAGTTTGGAAAAATATATGTTTGCCTTTAGGCTCATACAGCAACCCATTTTAAGTTTCAATTCAATCCAAAGGGTTAGCTGAAAGGTTTAAAAAACAGTGCACGTGGGTAACAGAACAACATAATTTGTGTCATGATGACTGCACAGTGTGAAAGGTATTGTGAATATTGTTCTACATGATGGTGACAGACTTCTGTGATGTATATTTGTCTGTTCTCCTCCACAGAGCCAATGGAAATTGACATTGTCCTTGACTTGCGCATCCTAGCCGTCAATGTGTCACAAAACCTCATTAGCATAATCAAGGAAGGTCTGAAAGAGTTCCCACTACCCTACACCATCACTCAGTTCTTAAAAGTAATAGACATAAATTTCACTACAGGTAAGAACTGTTGCTTGTTGTTTGTTTGCTTATGTAATTTGTATGGCTGATTTATTGCTGTTTTATCCAATAGTGTCTGATTTTTTTACATTCATTTGAAAGCGTGCTACCCAAACTCCACTGGAGGACTGCAGTGTCAGTGTGAGGAGCAGTTTGCTTGGTCATGTGACAAGTGTAACATCTACGGTGCATGCAGCAATGCCACCGAACAAACCTGTGGGTGCATAAATGGACTTCCTTCTCATGGAGAATTCTGTGAACCAATCACAGGTAAGCACTGCCATTTTATAGCTGTTCTAATAAAAGTGATGTTATTGGCAAAAAGGTAATAAATGAATATCTACTGGATATGTTCTTCTGTTTTCTATAGCATAAAAATATGTTGTAATAATTTAATTTCGATGTGGCTCCACAGATATCTCTCAGTGTACGACCCCAACTCCTGGTATGGAACAATTTTTTCTTTCTTTTGAATGGATAAAGTTGAACAGAGTCTGTAGTAGTTGAGGACACCTCTTGGAAAATAAAAAATTATTCATTAATTTTCAAATGAATTGGTGCCATATTTTTCTTCTCTCTTTTGGCCAGTAGATGGTGCTTTGTATGCATCAAATCCACAACCTAAATGGTCCATTTGTGGCTGTTATACTGTACTGGGCAAAAGTATTTTAGTTTTAATTTATTTTTGTTTAAAAGAGAAGTGACTACAAGTGTAGGACACAAGAGTTTTCGCTTTCAATAAATCATTAAACAAGGAACTACCTGTGACACTCAGTGAAGTTTTATCAAATAGTTGTTTCAGTAAATACAGGAATAAAAGAATCTGTTGCATGTAGAAAGTTAAAGCCTCTACCAGGTTTCCTTGTGAAGTCATACCACCATTTTAATTGAACATATTACAGAGGTTCCGGATAATGTCTTATTATATCCTATAATATTAAAAGTGCAGCTGATTTCTGATTCTATCTTTAATTTTATTATTTTTATTTTTACAGAGCTAACACCATCACCTTCACCACCAAACGGTATGACACATAGATAGAAAGAATGATGGGCTCTGTGTGTGTTTCTGAAAATTTGTACTGGCACTGTAAAATCACGGAAATTGTAAAGCTTTTGAAAAAAAAAGCTCACATCTACTTCAGTAGTTTGGAAAAATATATGTTTGCCTTTAGGCTCATACAGCAACCCATTTTAAGTTTCAATTCAATCCAAAGGGTTAGCTGAAAGGTTTAAAAAACAGTGCACGTGGGTAACAGAACAACATAATTTGTGTCATGATGACTGCACAGTGTGAAAGGTATTGTGAATATTGTTCTACATGATGGTGACAGACTTCTGTGATGTATATTTGTCTGTTCTCCTCCACAGAGCCAGTGGAAATTGACATTGTCCTTGACTTGCGCATCCCAGCCGTCAATGTGTCACAAAACCTCATTAGCATAATCAAGGAAGGTCTGAAAGAGTTCCCACTACCCTACACCATCACTCAGTTCTTAAAAGTAATAGACATAAATTTCACTACAGGTAAGAACTGTTGCTTTTTGTTTGTTTGCTTATGTAATTTGTATGGCTGATTTATTGCTGTTTTATCCAATAGTGTCAGATTTTTTTACATTTATTTGAAAGTGTGCTACCCAAACTCCACTGGAGGACTGCAGTGTCAGTGTGAGGAGCAGTTTGCTTGGTCATGTGACAAGTGTAACATCTACGGTGCATGCAGCAATGCCACCGAACAAACCTGTGGGTGCATAAATGGACTTCCTTCTGATGGAGAATTCTGTGAACCAATCACAAGTAAGCACTGCCATTTTATAGCTGTTCCAATAAAAGTGATGTTATTGGCAAAAAGGTAATAAATGAATATTTACTGGATCTGTTCTTCTGTTTTCTATAGCATAAAAATATGTTGTAATAATTTAATTTCAATGTGGCTCCACAGATATCTCTCAGTGTACGACCCCTCCTGGTATGGAACAATTTTTTCTTTCTTTTGAATGGATAAAGTTGACACAAGAGTTTTCGCTTTCAATGAATCATTAAACAAGGAACTACCTGTGACACTCTGTGAAGTTTTATCAAATAGTTGTTTCAGTAAATGTCTGAATAAAAGAATCTGTTGCATGTGGAAATTTAAAGCCTCTACCAGGTTTCCTTGTAAAGTCATACTACTGTTATGAAAAAGAAACATTAAATAACATTTACTGATGCGAAGTGTTGCAGATATTCTTTTTCTCTTTTACAGGAACGACAACACCACCAACGATAACAACAGCAAATACAACACTAATGACAACAACGACAAATGCAGCAATGCCAAATACAACACAAATGACAACAATGCTAAATACGACACCAATGATAACAACACCAAATACAACACAAATGACAACAATGCTAAATACGACACCAATGATAACTACACCAAAAACAACACTAATGACAACAACACCAATGACAACAATGCTTAATACGACACCAATCATAACAACACCAAATACAACACTAATGACAACAACGCTAAATACAACTACACCAATGACAACAATACCAAATACAACACTAATGACAACAACGCTAAATACAACTACACCAATGACAACAATACCAAATACAACACTAATGACAACAACACCAAAAGCAACACCAATGACGACAACGCCAAAAGCAACACCAATGACGACAACGCCAAATACAATAACACCAGTGACAACAACGCCAAATTCAACACCCAGTGGTATTTATATATATATATATATATATACATTTAAAATGTATGAATTAAGTTATGTTTGTCTCATAAAGTTGCTTCTTCGTGATAACAACTGTTTCTGTTCCAGTGAGGAACTTAAAACTCACCATGAATCTGGAATATAAGGAGTCATTCAATGACATCACCAGCGACGTTTTCAAACAAACAAATAAGGCTGTAAGTCTTGATGGGTCATTTAGTTTCATCACGTTTATGCAATAAATGTATGTGATATTTGATCTTGATGTAATTGTAGAACAAATAACAAGCGGGATATGTCATTGTTTCAAACAGATTCAAGAACAATGTAGTGAACACATCACAGCCAGCCACACAGCAACATTAATTAGGTTCCGGTGAGTCAAATATTTGTTTTCATTTTACTCCTTCCAAAATCTGTTTTGGAATATACCTTACAACTAACAGTTAGCTATATTAACATAGTTCTACATTGTTTATATGAATTGTTATTTTTAGCTATGCTATCAACATGGGGCTAGAGATGGCAATGTTGGTCAGTCTGTCAGTCCACCACTTTGGTCTATTTTGAAATATCTGAACCACTGTTGGATGGAAGGACAGGAAGTTTTTTACAGACATTCCCAGAAGATGAATACTAATAATTTCCATGAGCTGTTAGCATGGCTGTGGATTTGTTTGATACAATGATACAGTTTACAAAAAACTGCTTTGTACTTTGGCTAATCTCTAATTGGCTTTGGCTGAGGTGGCCGTATAATCATCTACATTAAATATGCCCATATAAAAATGTTTGCAGTCCAACTTTGGCCTATATTGTTCACTTACTGACTCCAGGTCAGTAGGCTGTTTGAAGCTTTCAGTAACAGGTGCTTTGATGAATAAATAACCACGTAGAATGTCCAGGTAAAATTGAAAAAGTTTTTATATCCCCTAACAAGTTGAGCATTACAAAACATATAAAGAATTTAAAAATTACTTAACTGAACCGTAAATTAGGGTAATTAGGCCAAAACAAGTAACCATCCATCAAGTAAGGCCATCTTCTAGCAGGTTGATTGTGTTTAACATCAAGGGCAGAGCAGATGTAATATGGTCCTAAATGGACTGCAAATAATACCTGTTTGTGATTGGATATTTTAACCGGGGTACAATTCTGTATCACAGGAGCGGAAGCACCATCGCCGACTATACTATAAGAGCAACTTCTCTTCCAGAGGCCGAAATTAAAGCGGTACAAACAGGGATATTTTCTCAGCTGGCAGATATATACCCTATGATATTTGACAGTAAGACAATTTTACACATCTTTGAAATATTTTAAGAGACACATGAGAGACAGATGATTTTGTACAGACGACATACAATATTGTCTGACCTTTGTGTGATTTTTTTGTATAGGCTCAGAACCTTTAAAGCTTGATCCAGCTGAAGGATTTTTTGGGAGTAAGGTGACTGTGAAATGTGGCCCTCCACCAAACAATCTCAATTTTGTTCCCAACGTGGTAGCAGTGTGGACACGAGACAGCCAGAAAATAGTCAACGATGGGGAACACAGCATTTCAGAAACAAATGGAATATCTGTTTTAACAGTGTCAAGATTTTTTATCACTAACAATGGTAAGATATACTGTAGATCCAGAATGGTGCAGTGAAAAAATACAAATTATACAGATACACAAGTATCTAAGGCTTTTTCCTTGTGCTCTGACCTGCATCAGAAATACCTTTTGATAATAGGCTCACAAAAATATGGGGCACAACCATGAAACTAAAAACTATAAGATGAAATTGTCTTCCTCTGTGTTTCTTCTCTCAAAGGAGAAAACGGGTCAGCTGATTTACAAAGCACATATAGAGCAACACAAAAACCCTCAATTAATTTCAGTTGTTGTTCCTGTGTAAGTCTTTTTAAGTCTCCTAACTCATAGCACAAAATATTTGGAAGTTGAAGAGGAGTGCTGCTCCCACTATATCACAATCTGAACGATGATTTAGGTTGTCGCCCCCCTAAGTTATTTTTTGGCCTTTTCATGCCTTTATTAGATAGAGACAGCTGTAGATTGACAGGAAAGGGGGGCAGAGAGAGAGGATGACACGCAGCAAAGGGCTGCAGGTCGGATTCAAACCCAGGCTACTGTAACAACTCTGTATATGGGTCCCCAGCTCTACCAACTGAGCTAACTGGGCGCCCCAAGCCCTCTTATAGTTTGAATTTGACAACACTGGCTTTACATTGATTTGATTTGTTAATGATCACCTTTAATTTCAGGGAATTATGAATGTACGCTGAAAAACAGCAGTGTGGGAACCACATCAGTTTTCAGACAGCGCACAACAATCAGTCAAACAAGGCCCTTAATCCAAGTGAAACCACTCAAAAAAGCAGTTGATTGTAAGACTGTAAAGGAAGTGCAACTGGAGTGCTCTGTCAACCGTGCCTTTACAGTTGAGTTTATTGGCATACAAGGTAAACCTGAAACAAAAAAGCACCAGAAGGCAAATCTGTTACACATGAATGTAGTTCTCAAACAACTATCTGACATAATGTGTATACATAAATGGTTTTTTCAAAGAGTGAATGTTGATATCCTTTGTCCAAGGTTGTAATTCTGCAGGTAATAAGATCACCTGTCAGTATCCAATCACAAACACATGTGAAGAAGAAGAAAAAACCTTTTCTTGTCAACTCAAGAACAATCCGATAGTTAAAAAAACTGTAACACTGGTGTTAACCACAGAGCGTAAGTATTGATACAAACAACAGAGAATTTTATACAATTCAGGTCAGGAAATTTTCTGTGTAAGTAAAGAACACTATTTCATTCTCTCTAGGTTTTGTATGTTTGAACGATTCTGTCTTTGGTGATGGACTTCTTAATGAAAAAGCTGAGGTTGGCTGTGAAGAGGGGAAGGAGGGGAAAGAAACAGCAGTGTGTAGGTCTACTGGTAATTGGGAAGATCGACAAGACTTATGTGTTCTACAAGCGGTTCAGGAGCTGCTCGATCAGTCTCAGGTAACCTAGTTCTCCAGATATTTCTGACACCAAATGATGGCAGAGGTGGATTTAGTGGCTTGGGGGCCTTAGGTAAACTCCAGTTTCCATTATGCCTTATTTTCACCTGTTCTCTAATTGAGAATGTTGGTAGTGGTAGAACAAATACTCAGAAAATGTACTGAGTAAAACAAACACTTAAAAATATGGCATTCAAAATATTACTCATAACTTATAACTAAAGCTCTTAAAGGTGAGGCTCATTTTAACTTTTTCATAAACTTCTGGATAGTTCAGTTTAAACTATAATAATGAGTTGGTTGTTCATATAGTTAGTGTGTAGAATCTGAAGTAACCACTATGCTGTCAGATAAAAAATAACAAACAAAATGAAATGGAATTATAAACTGTGGGGCACATTGCACACTGATAATGACCCAAAAAAGCACTTTGAAGGCATTTTAAAGTCACTGCAGTGTATATACAGTATGAATTAGAATGTTAACATAATTGTATGTTTTATTTCTAAACATCATCGTCCTGCCCATCAACTTCAACAGAAAGACCTGTGTCAGCTAGGGGCAAGGAGAGAGAGATATTTTAACAGGGAAATATGAAGATGTCAGAGAGGCAAATGTTAAAGAGTATGTAGGGTAAAGAGTAGATTCCTCAATGCGTCTTGGGTGCATTTACACCTGAACAGTATAATTACATTGGCTCACATTGAGCCAGGACTATGTTTATGCCAGCTGTCAATTACGTTTGTATGCAACTGAGTGATTTACAGATGAAAGACTTGATGAAATTCTCGATTACATTTTTTATATTTTAATCAAATAAGCTATCATTATAATGAAAGATTCCTACACATTGTAACTTTAATTTGATCCTGAGATATAATGTGATGCTAATGTTTTTTTTCTTTAAAATTCCCCAGTTCTTAAATAATAATACACTGCCACAATTCTTGGAAGAACTCAGCAATGTCACTGTCAGCTTAAGTGAACAAGTGGTTGAATCTCCTGCAACAATTACTGCCATTGTTCAAATACTCAACAATGTAGCCAATGCATCAACATCCCAGAATATCCCAATAACTGAAACTTCAATGGAGGTAAGCAAATTACTTTGAGGTTTGCACATATCCTCAACAGTATACTCTACATTTCACTTGGTCTAATATCTTGTTTCCTTTCAATTTAGGCTGTCCTAAATACTACAGGAGTCCTCACCACAGATGGGTCAAAGAATTCATGGACATTTATAAACTCAAATGACACCAAAACTGTCCCAGGAACAAGGAGTAACATATCTGAAACTGAAAGTGTCAGTTCGACATTACTGCAGTCTCTTGAGACAATAACACGTCGCCTTACCAATGATTCTTTTAACATTGACACACCTTTTATTCTCTTGAACAAAACTACATTCACAGACACTTTCAATTCTGAAATAAATTCTTCAGTAGAGATAGAGATACCAGAGTCTGATGGAGAAACAAATACAGTCACTGTTATAACGTTTGCTTCAATGGATAACGTACTCCCTGCAAGAGACAAAGAAAATTCAACGTTCAACGTCATCAACGGGAGAGTCGTACTTGTTCAGTCCAGTGGTGCTGTCAATAATGTTTCGTTCACATTTGAGATTATAAACGATACTCTTGGGAACCCTCAGTGTGTTTTCTGGAACTTCAGCCTCTTCGATGGTCTGGGGGGCTGGGACGACGAGGGATGTGAGTTGGTAAACAACGGAAACGGAAACGTCACCTGCAACTGCAACCACCTGACTTCGTTCTCTATCCTAATGTCACCCTACAGTCCAGATGACCTTGCATTGGATGTTATAACCTACGTTGGAGTTGGCATATCCATGGCTTCTTTGGTCATATGCCTCATTATTGAAGCTGTCATATGGAGAAAAATAAGAAAGAACGCCACATCTTACCTGCGTCATGTTTCCATTGTTAATATCGCTGTGTCTCTCCTCATTGCAAACATTTGGTTTATTATCGGGGCAGCCATTTCCGATGCAGAGGATCAAAATCTACCAGCATGCTCTGCGGCTACATTTTTTATCCATTTTTTCTACCTAGCCCTGTTCTTCTGGATGTTAGCCTCAGCTCTGCTGTTGTTCTACCGCACAGTCAGTGTCTTCGACGGGGGTTTGTCTAAAAGATCTATGTTGGCTATTGGATTCTCACTAGGCTACGGGGCACCGCTCATAATTGCGATCATAACAGTAGCTATAACTCAACCCCAAAATACATACATCAGAAAAGCTGGAGTCTGCTGGCTCAACTGGGATGAATCCAGGGCTCTACTGGCATTTGTGATACCAGCGCTATCAATTGTGGCAATAAACCTTGTAATCCTGCTTGTTGTGATGTACAAAATGTTGAAGAGAAGGGTAGTGGGAGATGCTGCACAAGCAGCTGAGAGGCACGTTCTTGTGGTTATTGCTCGGAGTTTGGCTGTCCTCACACCATTTTTTGGAATAACTTGGGGTCTGGGAGTTGGAACCATGACAGATCCATACAATAGAGGAATCCATATTTCATTTGCGTTCTTCAATTCACTGCAGGTACAAATTCACTGTTAATAATACTGATCTATATATTATATATTACTCTATACTGTAGTACCTGAAATTAATCCATGGATCACTATTATGAATGGTTAGTTTGCCTTTTATCACTGAAGCCCTCTTACATAATGCTACTCTGTGTCTTTGTTTAAAGGGTTTCTTCATATTGGTGTTTGGGACGCTGCTGGACAAAAAGGTATGTATGATTTACTATTCAAATCAACTGCTTGTTGGGACAATGCTTAATTGAATAAAGGGGAAATCCACTATTTCTAATAATTTAGAATTATTAGTTGATTGATGGATTGGTTTTATCCTATTAGAATTAATCTAATGGAAAATAACAACAGTATGCAGTAATACCACCATTTTGCTGGTATCATATTAGCTGTTGTCACTAGCCATCCATCGGTGAGCTACTGCAGTGAAAGTAAATTGTTGGTAGTGATGATGACTGTTCTGCATGATTTTGACATGCGGAACACTGGTAGCACACTGCACCTCTTAGTACTACATGTTGACCCTTTAAAAACATAATTTTTACAGAAACTCACTTGCTTAAGTTTTATAGCAGCGTGATCATTTTCGGGAATTTACTTTCAGGTGCGGTCAGAAATAACAATAAAGACACAGACTTCCAGTGGAACAAGGGTAAGACAGTTTTCTTAGTCATCATCTTTTTGATGAGGTTCGAAGTATTATGGTGATTCATGTGTTTACTTTTATTCTGGTTTTAGACCACCAGTGCTGCAACGTCATCATCAAGTGGATTGGGCTTTTTCCGGAACTGGAGAAGAGGAAGAGGTATGTTAACAATTAAGAAGAGAAAAGAGAAAACAACAGAAACCAAGAAACAAAAGGCTTCTAAATGCTTGTGAAGCAGTTTTACTAACTATGCTACTGGCTTATGTTAGTTGACAGACTTGATAGATTACCCTGATATTTTGTACTTACATTCATGCTTCCTAGATGATACATCCTAATGACTTTAGTGATCCCTTTTCCTTATCTTTTAGGCCACTAAAGGCAGCTCAAAGTTACCATTTATCTAGTGAAATATCTAATCATACATATACTAGTTTGGTTGGAACAACATTTTAGTACCTGCAACTGCAACCACCTGACTTTGTTCTCTATGCTAATGTCACCCTACAGTCTAGAGGACCCTGTATTAGATGTGTGACGGCCTTAGGGTTGGCCCTATTCTGTTCCTCCTTAAAACCTTCTTTGGAGTTGGCATATTTATGGCTTCCTTGGTCATATGCCTCATTAATGAAGCTGTCATGTTAGCATTCTAATCTAACCATTTAGCTGACAGCACTCTGCTATGCCAAAGTTGTCAGTTGTCATATTGTTTCACCACAGACTGAATAGCTTTGTTTTGCTGCTGTTTTTTCAGATGGTTACAATATCTCATCCAGTGCCTCTGGAGCATCTCGCTCCTTCACCGACACATGATGGTCTGCAGACAGCTCTGGGCAGTTGGAAAAACAACCAACCAAGCAAACCAGATGTTGTTTTTTCTTTTTTCATCGCAGCTATAATGTGTGAAGGTTGGATTTGAAGTGTAAGATAACAATCATGAATAGGCTTTATATTTGGGAAGAAGAACAAAGTATTAATACAATCATATGTTGAAAGTTGTATTTTGTCAAAACCCTTCTCACAACAACATTATGTAATATACACCAGCAAAAGTGTTTATTAGTATTACATAATGTATGTTGGATGTATAGAATTAATTGGATTGTAGTAGTAATTGCTTTTGCAGTGACTAAGTTACACTTTTCATCGTGTGTGTGTTTGTGTGTGTGTGTGTGTGTGTGTGTGTGTGTGTGTGTGTGTGCGTGCGTGCGTGCGTGCGTGCGTGCGTGCGTGCGTGTGTGTGTGCAGGAAGTCACACACAGTATGTTTAGAGGTTGCACTTAGGTTTTCCCTCAGACAAAACAAAAGAAATGTTTGTGTTAGACATTCATCACATCATTTTCAGGAAACAAAATGTCCACAGTCGTAAAGTAGATGCAAAATGGCTCTTGGTTTTTCTTTGCTTTGCCAATCAAATCAGTAAGCCAAGGCTGGGCTCACACAGATCAGTGAACTTGTTTACTCAAGGAGTGGCATCACAATGACAAAATGACATGGCTAGCACCGTCAGTCAAATAGAATTCCAAACATGTAATGGAGCTACTCAGAGAAAATATAAAAAGCTTTTTTTTTTAATGTGGAGCCCCTGTTGATATTTTAGCAACATTAAGAAATCTCTCAGAATCACACAGACAGCCACTTTCCACTCTTACGATCCCAGGTGTCATCATAGCTCTGTCACACTGTGTGTAATGTTCAACCGTACACTATGTGTGTTTGTGTATGTGTGTGTGTATACAGCAAATGCTGCTTGATATTCAGTGTCTATTTTGTGCTTTAGTCCTGTGTAACATAGCAGAAGTCAGGTTTTTAAAGCTGTAGTGTGTGATATGGATGTTAAAGTCACATAACTAAACCACCTTGACCCACAGAATTTAAGGTTATGTACTAAAATATAAAATCTGTTGTTCCTCCATTTTAATAAGTGATGTTTAATAATGATCAGCATCATGTTTTGTCATGATGCAGTCTTATTTTCTGGCCTTTGTTTTGTTGGCAACGTTGTGTTTGCAGTTTAAGAGCAGATAGTTTAGGTTTTCTGTATGTGTCGGGTTGATGTAATTGTTTATGCTACCTGAGCCTGGACCACTGTTTATATACATTTTATGCTGTGGGTTAATAACAAGTCCAGAGTCTTAACATTTAGGATGATCTATTGGCAGAAACGGAATCTAATAATTTTATGTTTTCATTAGTGTATTGGGGGGCAAGGCTGTTGGAATCTGTAACTACACCTAAGAACACAACTAAATCCTACACACAGGTCCTCGAAGACGATCGCTGACTTAGCAGAAGGGATGATATTGGTTCAGGAACAAAAAAATGTGTGACATAAGCATTTTAGGCATTCATACTCTGGTGCCTGTGACAGTGTTGTATGATTCAGCTGATAGCAACTGGTCACCTGGATTTGGAGGAAGATTTCCAGACAAACAAAGCTAGGTTATTAAACAGTGTCAATGTACTAAGTTTACGTCATATTTAACTTTGAAATAACAGGCTCAAAAAGTACTGTGTGCTTTGCTGAGTCTTGGAATAGAACCTTTTTACTGACCTTGTTTTTGATTTTGCTTGACTTAAACTTGTCTGTGTCCAGTCTTGAGTGATTCAGGTGACAGCCCTGTCAGTATGTATTTGCAGTGGGGCAGGGCAATAATATTGCTTCATTTTATAAATGAGCACTGCATATAATCTTCCAAAATTACTTATCTAAGGTTTTCTTTAAGACGTGTGAATAGATTTATTTCTGGTAATGCATAACAGTGGAACACAGATTCAGATAAATTTTGATCATTTTATGAAATGATGAAAATATATCTATATAAATATTGTGATTTACGTAAACCATTGTCCGGCTCTTACATGCATCCATTCGTTTGGTGAGGGCGTTACATTTTCTTTGTTGAGGTTTTGAAGACATTATTTAGTGAACAGATACCCTGTGAATGTGCTGTATCTTTTGGCGATCACAGTTATTTAGCCTGTAGTTTTTATACCTTTGGAGTGAAAAATAAAATAGCAGAGTGTAAGTAGCAAATATGATCATTGGCATACACTCATGTAAAACAAGTCAACAATTGACCAGCACACTCATATCATATTCGCTCGCTCTAGCCCACCACAAGCTACAGTAAATATCGTTTGTCTACCTGTAACATTTTAACTATGTCTTTAAATCTTGTGGTTTTCAGATATATTATGTATGAAGGTGTGGTTGAAGCAAATGTATTCATCATTATCCAACACAAGGTTGTGCAATGAAATGCAAGTTTGCAGTCCCTATATGCTACACACATAGATAAAGATAATTAAATGTATGCTAGAATAACATATAATGTTTTTACATTGTGAATAACAAACAACTCACAGCAGTGTCTTCTGTCTTTTGAAACATCCTGTTGTATACCACTAAGAAAAAAATCACCACTATATGTTTTGTCACCCGAACTTTTCATTGTGCATCAATACCAGTAGCCTACAAAACCAAGCCTACATGCAGCCGGCCCCCATGTTCAACAGGGCTCCATAGGGCACTCATCACCCTTGGTCTCCCTCGCCATCATTCTCTGATCTTCATGCAGTAACTATTTGCTCACCTCAGGTCAAGATCGTAGAGTTTTAAAGACTGCTTATTTTGACACTGAAATACTGGCCACGCTCGTCAGAGCTTCATGCTTGTTGGAGGTTTCTATACCTGCAATAGATACCAGGGAATACACAACAGCGCATTTTCAAGGCCTCATCTCGGGTCATCTCCCGGCGCATAACTTCACCCAAATCGCCTTAAAGCAACAGAACCAACGCGGTTCAAAAAATGTTATGTAATATCTCTCACAACAGTATTTGCATTGAGCAGTCAATATTCTCACCTGGGTTTCATGTTAGTTCACAACTTTTCACAAAGAAAACAGACTGCACTGCATTTTGTCTCAGGTTTAAGCTCAAAAGCAGAAGTGCCTCGTCAAACTAAGCATTATTTACATTTTTACAGCGTCCTCAAGAGATCTTAACTGTAAAACCTGTAACACTGGCACAGTTTTTCTTTACCTCATCTACAACACTGATCTGTTCAGGCAGGGCATTGTATGGGAGCAATATCAGCACACAGTCTCTATGTTATGCTGATAGGCTGATAAGTCCGAGTCAGTCAGCGTTTCGGGTAACAGGGATTTGAACGCATATAGAGACAGATCTCTGAATTTCACTGTCTGACAATAATACAAGGTAAAATAAATAGATATATTTACTTAGAGATCTTAAAGAGCATTTCCATAATGAAAAAGACCCAAGCCTGTTGTGCATCACAGTTATTAGCTTAGCCACTACATGCAAGGCTGGACAGGGCTCCATCCAAGATGACCAAAAATGTAATGAAAAAGGAGCATTTCATAGATGAGTGATTGGCTGAGTGATTCAACAACAATTTTCCTGCTATCTTGATTAATCTACAGACAAGTAGTCAAAAACCTACTGTGTACACGCATCAAAAAAGCACCACGCATTTATCAGTACTTACCTGGGGCTTGTAGAACTTGAGGATGCTGATGCAGAGGTGACAGCAAAAGCAACCATTACATCTCTGACAAAAAACAGACTGCAAATGGTGTGCTAATGGTGCTACAGACGGAGCAAGCGTGACGGTCTGAAGCTTATTGACTGTGTTTTCCACTCATTTGATTTTGCTGAAAAACGGACAATACAACGTCTCCCCGGCAACCATGAATACATGATCAAGGAAACTTGTAACTGGTTTGCCCACTCAGACAAATGCCAAGGTGAACAAGAATATGTAGTCAATTAAAAAATTAACAAGCAGTCCTTTCAAAATGATATCACCAAGTCAAACTGTTGGCTTGTAATAGCAGACTGCATTGAATGGATTTTTGAGCAAGAGGGTGGGCTTGGATGGCACTTGATGTAAGGAATACTGTTTTTCAGTGAGGCTTTTTAACAAAATTCTCAGTGATGGGAATGGGAAAACTGATTTAACTGCTTGTACTGCACCAATGATATCATCACCCTGCCAGGGACTGTAGATTAAAATTAGCCTGTATGGCTAAATCTGGCACATTTACATGATGGATTCAAGTGCTCATGTTAATTACAGTTTTTTATGATTGTTTACACACTAAAATAAAAATTTCCACATCATTTGCAAAATTCTACTCCAAGGAGCAAAACACCTCCACAGATTTGCACAACATTACACACAATGTCTGCTTCACCCTTTTTGTAAAACATTACACACAGTTATTTGTAAAACTCTACACACATTTTCACACCTTAGACACAGATAAGGATTGTGAGGTTACTTCCTTGTCATTACAAAGCCCCGGATTGCCAATGACCACACTAATGAACCAATTGGATAATCACATCCACCAGGTGTGGAAGCACACATGTGCTAATTTGAAAACGCAGCACTCAGCCAGACGGAGAGATGATGAATAGTTACAGTATTCTTGTTGCTTTTACAGTAGTAGACAGTAGAGTCAAAGTGTATGTACTTCATGCAGTCATTTTTATTTGTCTACAGATTTTATTTGTTTCATTGATTTCATTGTTGGTTGATTACTGTAACTGATTGTGGTAAGAAATAATGTAAGTATTGAAATAAATACTTGAAATATTCAGTCTGCAGCATCAGTGTTGTGCAGTGCTTGGTAAGTTTATAGTAGGCCTATTTGTGTACATTCTCCCTATATCTCAAACTAATCATGAAGAATGTTGTGGGTTTGTCACTATTTTTTTTGACATCTAAATTATCCCTTACATAACAATGTCTGGCCTAAAATCTAGCACATGCTATTTCCTAAAATTAGTTTTTTCACAAATGTGTTTTTTATTTATCACAGCAGTGTGAAACTGGCTGCAATAGTGTCTGATCATTGAGGACTGTGTTGGTTAAATGAAAACTAATAGCATTTTCACAAATATGTGTGTATGTTTTGACTGAAGAGTGTATGTTTTGACTGAAGTGTGTCATTATGCAAACAATCTAGGAATTATGCAAATTGAGTGTGGTGTTTGGATAATTGTGATTATATTTTGAAAAAAAGAACCCGGTTTTCAAAATTGCGTGTAAACAATTGAAAAAAACTGTAATGTCCATCAGTTGTCGGCAGGACAGTATTCAAAGACTTGCCAATGGAGTTTTTTTTATCCAACTTCGGACTCCCAGTAGAGGAATGTGGCATCAGCAGGTTTTTCAAGTGAATCGACCATTGACAAGTTTGTTTAAAGTGAAAGCATTTACAAAATGCAGGGCAAAACCATTGTTTTGACTTCTCATGAGATCTGAATGTAGATTGGAGATTTCTGTAACACAATTTCACTCTAACCTACATAGTCATACAAGTCATACCATTTTCAAATGCTTCATATCACTAATATCTGTTCAACCTTACCTAAAAGGTTGTATAAGTCAATAAGCCATAATAATTTTAAAAAGTATTGAAATTTCGTCTCAAATAAATGTGATGATGTTTTTTCATCCAATGTTATTAAGTAAACACACACAAACATATTGATTCAAAAGATTCCTTAATGTAGAAATTTTAAAATATTCTTTAACACTACATAAGTTATTTGGACTATGTACTATTGTATTTAGAATTATTATAATTCACACTTGGAAGGAGATAGTGATCATAAAATATTATCCTGTTTCCCCCAACCTTTTGTACAAGTGAGTAGTTGTGTTTTGTACAGTTTTCAGTGTAGTCTTGCCCCTCTAAACACTGGCTCGGGCTCTCTAGAGCACAAATCTCTATTCAACTTTAGATGATCCCCTGACCCTTACACCTCGACCTCATGTGGTGACATTTTCAGGTTAGATTGGAGTTCTAAATTTGTAAATTTTAAACATCTTTTTTTACTTTTTTCTTATCATATTCTGTTAAAAATGTAAAACAAATATTCAGATACTTCATCAGTTAAATGGGGTCAATGGGATGTGCTGCAGCACCCTCAGCACCCACCTTCCCATGACAAACAGAAAAATATGCAGCTCCCTTTTGCTCAGTTACATACAACACTTATGATACACAAACTCATTGCCAGCAAATTACCAGACAGGGGTGTGACTCAGACAAAGTATTCCAGGAATTTGACTGATGGCCTTTCACATGTTTAATTTTGGTCTGTGTATGTGGAGACGTACATAGACCGTATGTAGACAGGAGCCCTTTTTGGATGACAGAACACAATGAGAGGTAAATAAATACAATTAACATTTTAAAACTTAACTCTTATTTTATGTAAGTGTTTAATATTTAAAATGCTTTCAGGCAAACTGTAGAGGATTATGCTACATAGTACAGACAAAGCACTGATTTGCCATATTAGGCGAAACAACAAACTGGTGTTTTATATGCTGTAGCTTACAATGTTAAGGTTGCTTACCAATCAAATGGCCAGTGAATTTTAAAGAAAAGCCTAGAGTTGTGTTTTAGCTTTTTAGAAAGACTTTCCTGGGAAATATATCATGTAGCTGAGGGTAGCTTGCTTTAAAACATAAAACTAAACAGAAACAAAACAAAGCAAGTAAAGTAAATAAATGCATACAAAATACAGGCTACTGGAAGGACAGAAGGACAGATAAGGTTAAGTAATTAATTAATAATTAATTAATTTTTTTTTTTTTTTTTTTTTATTACCCCGGCTGCTGTCAATGCTTATCTGTGCCTCGTCGTGTCTCATATGTTTTCCCATGCACTTCATGTTAATCATGTATCTTGCTCAGAGCTTTGATTCTTTGCCCAGGCCCAAAACTGCTGCCGTATGTTGGGCTCGGGCTGAATTAGATTTTTTTTTGGTCATATATATTAAATATGTTATTAACA